AATGTCATCCAAAGTGAGAGCGTCCTGGTTGCCAAATGTCAGCTCAGTAACCGTCTCGCCGTTTGCGTCTTTTTCTTCTACAATTTGGAAACCGTGACCACGAGGATCTGTGCCTTCACCGCCTGATGAACCTGGCCTTACGCTTCGTCCTTCTGGCCCATCAATGATTCGTGACGCCCGTGCTTTTTTGTAAGTCGTTGACAGAGTGCGCTCGTTTCGGATCGACCTTAGACGTCGCATTTCACCAACAGTTTGTTCAAGGGAGGATTCTTCAGTACCCTCTTTGCTCGCGTGCGAGTATGACTTCGATCTAGTCGTAGACCTACGCAAATCACCTCCTGGAGTAGATTGGCCATCACTCCCATCATGCGACTTCAAGTTGGCGTCGTCTGAAATGAATTAGTGCTCTAAGCTTTGAAGAGCAAATCTCGGTTAGTAACATACCTGATGCTGGAATAGTACCTCCAGCTCGCAGAACAGTAAGGAGCCGTGCAAGAGCAACCTGCAGCAAGAAGACAAACTGCTGGAGTTTGGTTACTCGCGTGAACCCTCCTTGTGTATCATGCGCGAAGCCATTTTCAGATGCGCAACTATTACAGAAAGCGCGCTTATCCTTAGGGTTCCACAAGGCATCCTGAGGAATAGCAGTTAAATCTTTCTGGCAGGTTGTGCAAGTCAAGTGAGGCGGCTTTATATGCCACCTGTTATCTCCAAGCTTGATACATTCGTCATCGATGGGTTCTTTGCATGCAGCACAGCAGTCGGAGAGTTGATCAGCAAGGACTTCCACATTAGCCATTAAGTCTGCAGTAGTCACTTCTTCTTCAAGCGGCCGAAGTGCCTCAAGATCCCCAAGATGGTCTAAAAACTGATGCAGACCTTCAGGTGTTTCCTTTTCCCTCTCTAACTTGAGAGCACCCTGCAAGCCAATACGGATAAGGAGCTTCAAATAATGGGCAAGGCCTGTCACTAAAGATAAAAGCTCCTGAGTGACACCGAGTTTTCGAACGCCGGTCTCCTGAGTCTTTGATAACAATGCGAAGAAAGCGACGATCTTCTTGCACAGGAGTTTTGCTTCACGACCATAGGCAAGGTCTAATCAACGAATTTAGTTCCACGATACTGTTAATTGATACTCACGGTAAAATAAGACTCACCTTTCATGCCTTGAGCCTTGATGTTTGCTGCAAGTTGGTCGATTGCGGAGAAAAGAACATCGACATGTGCAATGAACTTTTTCGCAACAAGAACTCCGTCCACATAAGTACCATTACTGACGTGCAGAAGCATATCGGAGATGCAGGCGGCCGATGATTCCTCGAAACTTGAAAGAATGCTCCATATTTTGTACACCTTTTCTTCCATCACATCCTCTTCCTCCCGCACTCGGTTGCGTTGCTCGTCGGTAGCATCGGCTTCTACCTCAGGATATTCCAGTGGCTGGCCAGTTGGAGCTAAACGAACATTCCAAAACTTGTGAATCATATAGCATTCGGGGTGCCAGTGCTGATTCTGTCCATTACGGAAAATCTCCACGAACTGTTTGAGGATTGATGTGTGGCAACCGTGACACCGTTGTGCGAATTGAGTCGAGTAATGGAAGTGACAGTAGACCTTGCCTTCATGCTCATAATAAGAGTCCTGCGCGCCAAAGACTGTCGGACAAACGGAGCAAGTAAAATGCTCAATGTGATATTTTCGATCCAAGGCCGTTATATATGAGCCTCGCAGGGCACCACCGCATTCATGACAGAGGAGGTCCAATCGCCGAAAATAGTCTGTTTCACATAGAGGGTACTGCCCACTCCCATCTTCCGCATCAACAGGAAAGAACTTGGAAGCCACGATTTGGCCACAATCCTACGCCGTGATAGTTTAGTTACTGAACAAGAATGCATGCAAGAGTAGCGGTGGAAACTCACTTCACATTTGAAGCACTCCAGATGGTAGGTCGAAAGCAATGCCCGCACAAACTGACCTGTGAGGGGTTCACCACACTTTTTACAAATTCTTGACGAGCCACCTGGTGACTTCGTAACTGGTCGGCCGTTAGGGCGTGTTCGATCACGCGGAGTTGATCGGTCCCAATAACCGGCTGCATCGCGCGGAGTTGAGGGGTCCCTTGGGCTGGAATTGTTTGACTCGTATCTTCGACCCATACGGCCATCGGGGTTTTGGGCTCCATCTACAGGACTGTTCCCAGATGCATTCCAACCCCCGGTTATTGCACGCGGCGAGTCGAATGGAATACTGTTATCCGCCGGTGATGTAGGGGTTTGCGTCTGGTTACCTCCACCATAACCACTGGTATTCAACGTGGGGCGGACAGCCCCGTTGCCCGGCACGAGGCTATCCGGCAAAGGAACGTCGCCGGGAGGCATATCCGTATGAAACTACGCCGTTCTGCGTTTTTTCGCAACGAAATTGCAAGTAACTTAGGATATTGGGGGTCTCAATGCGTAAATGGGTCGCGTTTGTGGTTGCCGCCGAGATTAGGGAGAATTGATTTGTCGAGACAGGGGACCAGAGCGGGAATAAACAGAGTTATCCGGGAGGTTGCAGAAATGAGTAATTAAGGACAAGTCATGAAGTGATTATCGCATCTTTGACGGGAGTAATAGCTTAGGTCAGACAACAGTGTGATTTCCTTTGCGCGGGGCTCCTTAAAAGGTATTTGGGGTCCTTCCGTAACAACTCACCTCACGCCATGTAGATGAAACTTGCGGGGAACTTCTAGTAGGGGCTCGAGGGTTAGGAATGGAAGCGCGTGATCGATCTAATAAATATATTCCTTCACAATACCACCGGTCTATGCAGCAGCTTATTTGGAATCGAGACGTTTAAAAGCGTAGGCGCCCGTGTCGAGGGCAGCGGGATTAAAAAGGTTGAAGCTCAAAGTGAGACCAACAAGCGGCGGAGTAGTAGACTGGCCGGAATCACAACCATTCCTGGTTTCCTGCAAACACCAGAGGATCGATAGTCCAAGCCCTGGAAAACTCAGAGCACGGAGGGGAGAGCGAAATAGTGAACCACAGAGTCAAGTACAGCAAAACAAAAGAGTGATAAGGAGAGAGAGTTATAGGAGGTTAGGAGATCGCGTGTTTGGCAAAGTGGGTGTCTGTCCTGCTGGCAGTTGGTCGCTGTGCCCCCCTATGCTTCATGTTGCTGGTTACCCGCTAGGGTCTGTCACGTGAAATATACTCACCGCCTGGACTACCGCCTGTAGTTTGTGTATCGATTAGTACTGTACAAGGTATCTATGACAGAAATGGGGCCACGGTGCCTGATTACTATGTAACAATACAAAAAAGGGAATATTGGATGGGAATAGTAATTGGATAGAATCACCTAAGGTATGAAAAGCCGTGACAGTGGAAACAAAAAAAGAAAAAAAGGAAAGGGTAGAAAAGCAAAGTAAAAATGAACTAACCCTATATTCGTAGATACTGTAGGGTTTTGATTAGTGGATGTACAGTAATTCTATGGAGCTCAAAAACTATAGGAAAAATAAAAAATAATTATCCCTCCATGAAAATTAACAGAACAGAAAAGCTCTTCACCAGAACATTGTATGGGTAAGAAAGAGTATGAAGGAAACATGGTTACTGATACACCAAACCTTTTTTTGACCCCCTTATTGTATTCGCTTTTGCGGGGCAGCATGCGGGTTACCTGTTTTGGTATTTCTGAAACTAGTCATGACCCCATACATTGACGGTCTAAGTATGTTGCCAAGTGGAGTTGCTGTCAGTTTGGGACCCTTGACATTGTCTGCAGGAAGAGCCACCTTCTAGGTTGGTATGAGAAAATTTGTTCAAGACCATGTAGATTGTGTGTTCAATTGTGAATCACGTCAAATCATATAATTTGTTCCGCACCAGGATAGTATTCTGTGTTTCTTTCACTTTATTTGTTTTGTTTTAATTTTTGTTTTTTGGGGAGCATTCTCAAAAGATGTCATACTCTGTATGAAGAGCAAGGGTGACTGTTCTGAAGCTAGTCTTGTTTAGGAATGTTGGAATGAATGCTAGCCCTCAAAGCCTCAGGGGTCCAAATAGTAACTGAGTCTTTAAATAGAAATTAGGTGTTGTACTCTACATTCTTAGGACAGATATAATAGAGCTAGAAAGCTACCTAATGCCTACACTAGAAGAGTAGAGTGTTTAACGGAGTCAGCGGCGTCGCCTAGCAGTAAACATGTGGTTAAGGGGAAACATCCCGCGCTATCAGGGGATTTCGGTTATTTGGCCCATCAACAATTGATCTACCCACACAAAGAAGGCGGTGAGGTGGATATAGCTTGAATTACAGTACAGTACAGCCAGTCCTCCATCGTGTGAAACAGAAATACCGGCAACTCTGTATGCTTGGATGTATGTATGTCCGGCGTTTAGGAGTACCCACTCCAGACCGCTGTCAAAAGAAAAAGTACTCTGTGCCTTGTCTTGCCTTTCTTTTCCTTTTATAAAAGGGCTATTCTCTTGCAATAAAGTTAGAGATACTTGGAATGTGTTATACATAGATTAATATATTGACAGTTTTTACTGAGAGGCTTTTGCTGTGTGTACTTTTATTGAACATTTATACTGTACATTGACCGACATTCTATGTAGATATATAGCAATAAAGAAATGGTATTCTAGACACAATCTCAAAAAACTCCTTCAGGGGGTGGAAGTCTTAGATGCTAAAGATGCTTACTATGGTAGCCTCTATGCTATCATGCACTATCGCTGTGAATATGGTGTGTGTACAGCTTGTTTGTACCTGCCATCAATTGGTAGCTTTATATAAATTTTTGAGAGACAATAGATGCCAGACACACAGCCAAAATATCTTAGAAAGCCTGGAAAAAGGAAGGAACTTCTATTACCAATTCACGCACCTGATAACTGTTCACACAGTCTCCCGTCCACACTGACGAGGCAGCCACCTGTCGTTCCCCGCGCTGCCTTGGGCTGGACCATCAATGATCATTATAAAATCATACATACGCCCGTCTTCGTCATCTGCTTACAAACTAAGCGCTCTGCCCATTTTCATATCTATTAACCAACACCACTGATGAGAGCTCGACTGTCTACTATTTCTATGACAGGATGTCCGATCAAGCGATTCTCCGCATTACAAGGGTACAGCTGACTCTTTCATTATATCCACAAATATCCTGTAAAACCCTCTTGAACTGACGAGAATCCTCTTCCGATGGGGTACTAGGAAATCAGGCAGATACAACAAGGCACAGACTTGTGTAAGACTTTCTTCATACAGTCCCTGGAAGAATATTATTACATTAAGCTTACATTCATTTGTTCGGCTCGGATTCTAAGCGCTGGCTGTGGCTTACGATGATTCTGACATCCGAAATGTCCACGCCCTCATTCTTGGACCGCCAGAGACTCCTTACCAGTTCGGTTTCTTTGAGGTTCGTATTCGCTGCCCTCGATATCACAATAGAAAATACCACAACCCTAGTCCCACTGACCTGAGAGGAACTGCCTTAGTTTGCGATCAAATTTGGAAAGGGTAAGGAATCCGTCCCGTGAGAGAAACACAACAGGACATGCTTAAAGTAGCCACCATGGCGGGCTCCAGACTATCCCGCAAAGCCTCCTAGTGTCCGAGCTTTAACTACAAATAAAGGACGTTGCCGGTTCAACCCTAATATCTATGCTTCGGGCAAAGTCTGCTTGTGAGTCCGAAATCTGAAAGGCCAAGCATGCTCATATACTGACGAAATCCAGGTCAATTCTGGGGTAATTCGTTTCAAAAGCCCACAAAGTAGTTATAGCTGACTGGTTTGGTGTAGCACTTGGCGCGGGGAACCTGGAGAGGAGTGGTCATCTGCACAAGGCCTGGAGTCTATCTTGATCTCCATTCAGAGTCTGCTGTCCAACAACCCATATGAGAATGAACCTGGGTACGATAAGACCCAAACAGCAGAGGATAACGAATTGAAGGTATCTTACGTAGAGAAGGTGATGACTTACTCCTGGATTTACCCGATGACATGCTAACAGAACTTTCTTTGTATGTCAAGATTCGCCATGAGAACCTCCGAATTGCAGTCATTGAGCCTCTGGAGTCATCACTGGGTATCCTGCCATATGGAAGTACAAGCACGATTGCAGACCGAGCATCTGAGAGCGATGACGACGAGGAAGATGATCAAACGCTGAGCCAAAATGACAAACCTCTTGTTGATCGATTCGCAGACCTTCGCAAAAGACGATTCCTATGGTATTTCAATTCCTACATCCAAACGATTGATGCCGCGAACTCGGATATCTCTCGAAAGTGCAAATTCCAGATAATGCCTTTCGAAAGCCAGGGCAATACTATGGATGGCCACTTTGATTACCCTGAATTAAGGCGGCGGGTAGTTCTACTCAGGGAAAAAATCATTTGTGAGACGCGCAACTGGTTGTCTGAGGGGCTTGGTGTCAAGAAACAAGAGCTGAGTATCGCATCAAATCTGCAGCGCCAGTATGAACAGATTGTTGAGGATCTCAAGCGTCAGAAAAACTTCGCCGTTGATCTTGAGCTTGTTGACACGAATCCTTTCCTTTGGGCATTTACCTACTTTGGTAGGCCTATGAGCCATTTGGACGGTGGTATCTTCAGGTTTAAGATCTACATCAGCCCAAGTTTCCCAGAAGAACAGCCTCGTGTCTTTGTGGAGACGCCCGTATTCCATATTCGCGTATCCCGAGAAGGAGTCCTATGCTATTTCCCACGTAAAACAGATGAAATGCGTTATCATATCGAAGCGATTGTGGCGGCACTCGAAGAAGAATCCCCGCCATATGATCCACGGACTACAGTTCACCCTGAGGCAACTAAGCTTTTCTGGGGCAGTCCGGAAGATCGCAAGAGATATAACAGGGCATTGCGCCAGTCTGTTGAGAAAAGCGCCGAGTGAGTTTCTCCCTAAGCTAGTTCCATCACGTTCTCAAGTCCTAATGTCGTAATGTAGGGAAACATACGCATGAAAACTCCCCCTTTACTGCCGATGCTTACCTACTTTTCACCTGAGCCTTGAATGCTTTAGCCTTCATCAGACCCCGTGATGGTCCCGGTTAATCTCAGATGATTTAATATTTTAACAGATTATTGTCGGTCTGCGTCCGTCTCATTCTGTTTCTTGATTGCATATCCAGGGTCATGACCGTAAGATTTCGCATAATAATGAAGCGTATATCATTCGGTATTAAGCGCAATGGTATCTAAGATGGTTTACTTTCCTGGTTGGGGCCAGCTTCTAGGCCAAATTCAAGATAATGCTATGCTATGAATTGTTGCCACCGATGTAGACACCATCTAGATGGTTTAAATGATAAGTAAGGGACAACAACTGTGTGAGTGCCGCTATTAGGTGAAGTGAGCCAAGGCGGGTGAGGGAGTATGGCAACCTGAAGTAATAGACTTCTTGTTGCGAAACTAAAGGACAGTTCGGTGGTCGAACTGTCCAAGGCGATGTGGCTTCTAGAGTGGGGGCCCGGACACTTTAGCTCAGCCCCAGACATTTTCTCCGTAGAGCGGAGCGGAACCCAGTTAAATTATCATCCCCCCCGAACTTGAGATCAACACTCCGTCTTCGCCCTTCAGTTTCTATCGCTTATCTCCACCCATCCACCGCTTCCAGTCGCACAAGTTAACCACCAACTCGCCAGAATGTCTAACAAGCGTCCCGCTATGCAATTGGGCACTGTTTTGGTGGTCGGTGGCTGTGGTTTCGTGGGATGGCACATTGTCAATCAGTTGCTTAATTTTCCTTCGGAAACCGATGCCAGTGTCGCTCTCCCGAAGCCAGAAGAAGATCCTCGATTCGATTACCCCCAAATGGCCGGCCGGTATCCGGTATGCATGGCGAAGGTCGCGGTAGTCGACTTGCGAACCTCCAACAATCGGTTGCCTGGTGCTGAGTATTACGATGGCGATATCACGTCGGCAGAGTCCATGTTGGAGGTCTTTCGCAAAGTTAAGCCAGATGTTGTTATCCACACTGCCACGCCAAACGTCCTGGAAGGGAACAAGCCGTTGTTGCGCAAGGTGAATGTGGACGGAACAAAGACATTGCTGGAGGTCGCGGGCGGCGCTCGCGGAGATTGGGGTGGAAAGTGCAAAGCTTTCGTGTACACAAGCTCGAGCTCAGTGGTGCACGACACACAAAGCGATCTGATTAATGTGGATGAGGAGTGGCCATACATTAGAGGGGACAGGCAGTTGGAGTACTACTCAGAGACAAAGGTAGGTGATGCCGACTCCGTTTCTGTCTAGTCAGAATTTGCTCACGAGAGTTGGCAGGCGGACGCAGAAGAACTCGTTTTGAAGTACAACAGAACCTCACCCTCTGGTATGGTGACCTGTGCTGTTCGCCCAGCCGGTATTTATGGAGAGAAGGACACTACGTTTACCTACAAGATTCTGGAGCACTCATCCAAGGCCTCGCCAGCCGTTCTTCGAATGCAGTTGGGCGAGAACAATAATTTGTTCGACTTCACTTACGTCGGAAATATTGCGTATGCCCACTTACTCGCTGCCTTCCGCTTGCTTGCTACCAAGACCCGTATTGAGTCCAAACAAAGTGAACCGTTAGACCATGAGCGGGTTGATGGAGAGGCTTTCAACATTACTAATGATTCCCCGGTCTATTTCTGGGATATGACGCGTGCTGCCTGGGCACTGACTGGCAAGGTAGTCGAGCCCCATCAAGTCTGGGAACTCCCCGAGACACTCCTCGGCCCTATCGGCGGCATCGCGGAGACAGTGATGGGTATTTGCGGCAAGACGCCGCGGTTGACTAGGCGGACAGTCAGGTATTCATGCATGACTCGCTACTATTCATGTGACAAGGCCAAGGCGCGACTAGGCTACACTCCCATCGTTTCAGTCGAGGAGGGTCTGGCCCGTGCAGTTGGATATGTGGTAGAACGGGAGCGACAGGAGGGTCAGAAGAAGGGACAGTAATTGATGAATAGTGCAATTGAAAATGTGTGGAGGATGCACACGGTGACTTGATGTAATATAGGTAATTCTGGAGCTATCATCTGATTTCTTTCTATCAAGCATATACCTTAATGAACATGGATATAGGTGGTCCTTTCCATGAATATATTCTACATTCGAATATTGAGCTTTGCGCAAATTAGTCGCACGAATGAAAGTGAACCGAGGGTGCACTAGGGTTCGTGGACATATTAAGCTTACTACTTGGTATTCTATTGGCTTTGGTAGTTTCAATCATACTTGTCTCTACTAGGTTCTACAGGACGAACTATGCTAATGGTTATAGGGGCAGAAAGAACTGCATAGCTATATGTACATATTTACCACATGGGTGGGTTGCATGTGACGCTTGGGTGCTATGAAAATGACAATGTGTCGGTCTGCTCTATTCCTGGACGACACCTAACGCCTGTTTATCAAAGGCTGATGCGCTACTTTCTTTTCTTCCAAGGATCTCTGAGTTTCACCGCATGTCATCAATTGACTCAACTACATCGCACCTGACCATGATCTTTTAAATCAGTCGTTTCTCGTTGTCCGTTCCCTTCCCTTCCCCATTTCCTCATTTCCTCTAATTTTGCAAGTTATATACAAGAAACACAGATTCACTAGACAACAACGAGAGTATTGACTGACCTATACGCACTGAGAGCAATACATGGAATATTCTGCAGCATCCAACCCAAATCCTCCCTACATGTTTCGTCGAATACTTCTTTTGCTGTTCTGGCTAATTGGACTGCCAGCGACGATTGCAGACAAACAGTTATGCGGCAGCAAGGAAGGTATTCCTGGAGTTGACGCCTCCTTTGACTATGTTGTGGTTGGTGGTGGTAATGCTGGTATGACCCTGGCGGCACGCCTGGCTGAACAAAGCTTCAGTGTTGCTTTGGTTGAAGCTGGAGGATTCTACGAAATCAAATATCCCCCAGCGCAAGTTCCTGGGGCTGTCGCCGTTGGCACTGGAACCGATCAAATGGCCATTCGAACGCCCATTGACTGGGGGTTTCTGGTGAACACCGGGCCAGGAGCAAATTCACGGACTATTCACTACGAAAAAGCCAGATGCCTTGGAGGAGCGTATGTTCCACTAATGAACCTCTGGTTGTAAATTGGCTGACTTAAGTCTACCACTACCTAGAACGGCAAGCAATTTTATGCTATACCAGAGGTCAGTGGATTTTCATCGTTTCTGAGAGGAAGAGCTCAAGATTGACTGGCCCTAGACCGACTATAGGATCGATGAAACTATGGGCTGATCTCGTCGAAGATGAAAGTTACATCTTCGACAGCGTCTTCCCTTTGTTCAAGAAGACGATTAACTTCACCGCACCCGATGAGGAGCTCCGTCCTGCAAACGCCACCGTAAGCTATCGAGAGGATGCTTACGCGAAGCATGGCCTACCAGTTGACGTGACTTATCCGCATGCTGCCCCTCCCTTTTCCAGCTGGCTCCAACTTGGGTTGGAATCGGCGGGGATTGGAGTAACCTCTGAGTTCAACAGCGGGTCTTTGTTAGGTTCCTTTTATTGTCCGTTCACTTTACGACCCGCCGATCAGATCCGCAGCAGCTCCGAATCGGCATTTTTTAGGTCACCCTCGTCTTTGAGTTATTTACGAACCTTGACGTTGTACAAGAACACAATGGGCAAAAAGATACTGTTTGATCAAAAGCGAGCAGCAGGGGTTGAGGTTGCCACTGCAGGCTCCAAGTATATTCTCAGCGCGATCCACGAGGTCATCATATCATCAGGTGCCTTCCAGAGTCCTCAGTTACTCATGGTTTCTGGAATCGGTCCCGCCGATGTCCTCCGAGAGCATGAAATCGAAGTCATTGTAGATCTACCAGGAGTCGGTCAAAATCTGTGGGACCACGTTTTCTCTGGACCGACATACCCAGTGGCTGTGGAGACATTCAACAAGCTGGCTATGGACCTACAATATCTTATAAGTCAGATAAGGGAGTTTCAATCATCTCATACTGGAGTGCTGACCAATCATGGATTCGACTACATCGCTTTCGAAAAGCTTCCAGCTAGCTCGCGGGCCAGATTCACTGAACGTACGGAGAACGACCTCTCCTGGTTTCCAGAAGACTGGCCAGAGGTTGAGGTAAGTGTCCGATTTACCTCTGCACTTTCCAAGATCAGAGGATGCTAATATTTTGGATCTGATATAACAGTATATTGCCGCACCACTTTTCGTTGGCAATTTCTCCGATCCCATTACTATGCAACCGCAGGATGGGAGGCAATATGCGAGCATTATGCCCACACTCGTGGCCCCGACGTCACGCGGAAACGTTTCTATAATCTCAGCTGATACGGACGACCTTCCAGTGATCCACACTAACTGGCTTACTACAGAAACAGACCAACAAGTTCTAGTTGCAGCATTTAAGCGAGTCCGTGACATATTCCGTAGTGAAGCTATGGCACCCATCATTGTCGGAGAGGAATACTTCCCAGGAAAAGAGTATCAAACGGATAGTGAGATCCTTGAGGTCATCCGGGATACAGCCATGGCTCCGTGGCACGCGTCCGGCACATGCAAGATGGGGACTTGTTCTGATCGCATGGCGGTCCTTGATAGTCGAGCGAGGGTGCTTGGGGTTGAGAGATTGAGGGTGGTCGATGCCAGTGCGTTCCCATTTCTTCCTCCTGGCCATCCTCAATCGGTTGTTTGTATGTTCTGTGCCGTCCTTGTCTGCTTGTGGAAGCCGCTAATTGTAGAAATGCAGACATGCTTGCGGAAAAGATAGCCTCGGATATTATATTCTTTCGAGAAGATGGAGATTAGGACGATAAGGGCTAGATTTGCGATACGGGACAGCACGTGCGCGTAACTCATGGGACTGAGTGGAGGAGGCTTGACGCCGTGATGGATGTGGCTCAATTGAATGAGCTTACCAATTGCTCTCCGATGCTCTATTTCATCAGTGGTAGTGCTAATGTGACACACAAATCTTATCATCTTACGATATCAACCGCTGATTAACCTCAGCGTAACAATTCCAGCCCATGATAAGCTGTATCCGCACAAGTACCACCCCAATCGGCTTCCAATCCTAGCATATACAACATATCTCACCAATCAGAACCCCTACCCCTACCCTGGGACTTCCTGCAAAGCGAGCATGGAGCCATAGAGTAGAACAAGTGCAACCCATGGTGACTTACGTATGATGTAGGGGGCTGGTCGGGATGAACGCATCGCGACACAGCACAATCGAGAATCATACGAACTACCCGAAGGACACCACTGCATTGAACCCCAGTTGTCAACAGTTTGGCATCAGGTACCTTAAGCCGAGATCCTCTCGAGACAACCCATCAGGGTGTGAGGAAACCCCCGACTGGAGCTAAAAGAAAGGACAGAAAAAGTATAATTAGTGGTCGGGGGGCTTGATTTCAAATCCGTCGGAAGATTCTACATTGGAGCTCAGCTCTGTCTGACTTCATTCCCACTAGCTAGAATGGATATCATGGGCCGGAATTTGGTTCATTCCATGGTTGGCCTCATATGGGAACCTCCTAAACCCTCGAGTGGAGAAACGAAGTACATTACCGTACCTTTTCCTTTCTTGTCTTCTCTAAAGTACTTTTATTGCCGATGTTGTCTACGTAGGACAAATGATATTGGCGGGGTGATTCAATAGACGGAAAAAAAGAAAATAACATGATTGGTACTACGATTGTATCCTAGTTTGTCATAGTCCGCAGTCTGGAGCATGCAACCTGCATCATGGATGGACTGGATAAAAAAGAAAGTGATGTATGTACAAGGTAGGTATCCTACCCGTCAGATGACCCCAGATTGCCACGTATCAGCGGAAGTGATCCCAAATATGAGTTCAACTCCGAAAACAGTTACCCTCATCGATCTCTTAACTTAAAAATCATTCTAACGAGTTGTGCTATAGGTGGAGGGGGGAAGGGAAGCGAGTGGATACGAATATAATTCTACCACGCCATCCGTCCTCCCCGTCCAAATCAAATCCACTGCGAGTGGAAGTTCGAGCTTATCAAGGGAAGTGGATTCTGAAGATCAGACACAATCGCAGAATGTTGGTTGGATGCCGATCAATTGGGTTTTTCCCAGTTGGAAATGGTGGGGAGGGCTCTTTTTTTTGCAGAAGAACCCAATTGGCGGGTGGATGAAATACTTGATGCGAGAAGAAAAGAAAGGGAGGGCAAACTGGAACATTTTATTTTTCTTGTTCTATTTTTTTTTTTTTTTCCTTTTCTTTTTTCTCCCTTACGCTTTACTCATCTCGTTCTTTCTTCTTTCCCCGGATTTTCTTTTGGTCCTGATGATGAAATTGGGAATCTTGATTCGACTGATGAAGACGTCAGGTCGCACAGGGGTGGATTTTTGGTTTGACCCACGATGATGAAACAGCTTTCGTTGCTGTTTCTCATCTATCGTCATTTCCATACTGAAGATTACTCTATAAGACTGGATTCTACTGTAGTATTGCATGGTGGAAAACCGATCATTGCCTGAAGTAGGAGGGAGGAGTTGATGTTTCCGGGTATGGGTTATTAAGCACACTTCTCATGCAGTCTGTAAGTATGTTCTTGATCCATGCATGAGGGATGCGTTGATGTTCAAGGTGGAAAAAAAAATAACACAACTAAAAATAATAATCAATAGAGTAGTGGGACTTTTCTTTTCTTTTCTTTTCTTTTCCTTTTTTACTCTTTACCCCGCAAAGGATTCCTCGCCTTAGCTTTTTGATATGGTCCTGGTGACTGAATGTTTGGGAAAGTTTATTGGCATGCCAAAGGTACAGTACAATCAAGCGTAAGATTTCCAAGAATACCTCAACTCTCGACCATTACCTAAGGGCATGAGAATGAGAAAGCTTTGGTCTCCTGATGAGTTACTACTTTGGTGTTGGGCTCTTCATTCTTACTGGTCAATCACTCTCCTCTCACCTATGACTACGGAGTAAAAGTAATAATCATTTATTTGACAACAATAACAAATAACAATAACAATGATACTCCCAAGCATGTATACATAAACATTTGCCAGGTTTCTAGGGCTACCAGTTGTATACACACACAGCAAAGAGCAAATACTATCCTGGACATCATAACCATATGGACCATCCGGATATTTTCCCACCCACATAGAAAACCTATCCAATGTACAGTACATACTGTACTGTAGTCGTTACCTAAGAATTGGTCTCCAACAACCTGCAGACCAATTCGCTTACCGACGGGCATATGCACAGGGTCAACCTCGTAGGTTCAATTCACCTGCACCCTCCTGCCATGTTTGTCTCTCCGTAGAGTCAAGACATTGACCAAGTCCAGTTTTGTCGGCAATCCATAACCTTCTTTGTGGGAATTACCCGAACGTTTTGGATTGAACTCCTTCCAAAAGAGTCCCAAGAGCCGGCGGCGACAGAAGGTCAAGTGATCAACGATCTTCTGGAACCGGGAGCCGTTCCATGGGACAACGAGACAGCTTCCCGCTGTTTGCATGGGTGGTGACGTCCCAGTGGCTGTCAGTCTGAACAAACAATGCAATTTAGTACGACTACTACCACGCCCATCCATCGCTGGAATGCACCTTTAGCTCCCCATTCATTCTTTTCCTTCAAACTTTACGGAAGTTTCTAGGCCTTACAGAATTAACTGTCTCCAAACGATTTTACTTTCTCTCTCTCTCTCTTCTTCTTCTACGAATGCTCAGTGATGATGGTTGTACATACAAGGGGAGCCTGATCCGAATCATCTCGAATCCATCGTATCTGGCCGACCGTTACAAAAGGGTGGTGGCGTATGGTGGCTGTTGGATGGGGTGTCGTGTGGTTTGGAATGAAAATGCATATTCCTTCCCCTCTCTTCTTTTTTTTTTTTTTCTCTCTTTTCCTTCCTGCCCTCGAAATTATATATTATAACCGTAGGAGTTATGTACTAAGTTTAGGGAGGGGGGGGAAAGTGGTTACTGGGTGACCAGATTTTGATGACGGGGGGGAGGCAGAATGATTAAACTACTCCGCTAAACCCATCATAATAAATAATCGGAATCATTGGTGGTTTCCGAGAAACGAGCCGTTGTCGAAGAGGAGATGCAGACGGGGAACGAATCATCGGTTAGGGCTGGCCACATGCAGTTCCAGATAAGTATGTAGGATGTATGTCTGGATGTAAAGTCAGTATGTATGTACTCAGCCAATGTGCTGTACGCCTGGAGGTAACCTGCTGAGATGGGCGATGGGGGTTGGCGGTTAACGGCCGAGCCAGGTCTGTGCCAGCCTTCGGAGCACAACTTCATGATGTCGAACTCAGGTACTGGTTACCTTGACCAGGTTCGGGGACTATATAACGTTTAGATATACTTAAGTATATATATATATATATATATATATTTGCTGCAGGAAGGTTGTGTTGGGGAAATTTTGGAGAAAAGGTCTAGATGGAGTTGTAGGTTGATCGTGGCGTGGTCAGCCCCCAGCGTTGTACTGGCTCTTTCCGAGGACTATAAATTTGTCTATCACCAGTGGATCATTGATAATAAAAATAAGAATAAGAATCATACTATGCTCGAAATGGGATCCTCTTGTTGTCACTAAATGCCAGACTAAACCGACGATACCGAAACGTTACAGCGAGGCGGGTGGGTCAGACATCACTTATTAGGTCAGAAGAGAAAGCGAGGGAATGTGAGCGTTTCAGGCCATGATAGGGAATGAACGACTGGGAGGCATTAATTAATTAATGAACGATAATTGACAGCTGAGTTACATTTCTACTGAGTTGACCCCCAGTAGGAAACGGGACGTTGGCCCTTGACTTTCACCTCAATTATTTTTCTTTTCTTTGCATTTTCTGTGAGTGTCACTTGGCTGCTTTTCTTTTTTTTCTTTTTTTTCCCCGTGGCCGTTACCTTACTTTACGGCATATCCTTACCTACTCCGTCCAGTCCGAATGTACTACTAATCCCTCCACCCACTCACACTTCACACTTACTTCCACTCTTCTTGCCTTTCAACTCAACTGCCCTGTTGCCGTTTTATTATTCGTCTTCTCCCCCTCGTCCCCCTTCACCTGTCCCTCTTTTCCCTCAATCTATGCTGTCAATCTGGTTGTGCCGGAATTTACGTCCTGCTTAGCACGCCTATCTGTTTAATTCCCCTTCTATTTAGTCAACCTCATCTTGGGGTTGACTCTTGTCGATCATCCTGGCTTCGCGTTGAGCGCCTCCGTCGCGCCGTTCCCCGCATAGGCAATTCGTTGTCCATTCCCTTTTTCTTAGTCCTTACGTGATCACAACAACTTTTTTTTTTTTTTTTTTTTGGTCTTTTTCCCTTTACACTTGTGATTTGGTGGTGGTGGTGGTTTTCTTTTTTTTTGTGATCTCACCATCTTCAAAAGCCAACAAATAATAACGTCTCAGTTTCCCGTCAACCAGGGCCCTTTTTCGCTGGAATTCACGCCCCGCAGTTCAGCCATGGCCCGTTGATCTTGCGGATGAATCCATAACCTCATTTCTAAGGGCACCCGCTCTGCCCGGCAGACGGTCTGCCTGGCTCTGTTGATTTCGCTTGTCTTTTTGCCTACGGTAACTCGAGTCGTGGCGGTGATCCCTTCCCGGGGTTTTTACCACCGTCTCAGAAACCTTGCCAACCAGCATGGCGGGCAATGGCAGTCCAAGTCCTCAGTTCCTGGCGCCTCCGGCCGTGACGGCCTTACGGCAGGAGGCCCGGAGCATCGTTCCGAGTCTAACCCCTTCGAATCGCTCTCTCAATGACGACAATGATATGCAGGAAGAACGTGCGGAGTTGAAGCAGGCGGCGGAGCAGACGTTGAACGTCATTGTTGACCTGGATCTCGATGGCCGCATCAAATGGGTCAGTCCGTCATGGAGACAGGTGGTGGGAACTGTCCCAGAGTCGGTGGAGGGACGGATGATTTCGGATCTTATTGTGGACGACAAGAATGCCTTCCAAGAGGCAGTTGAGGCCATGAAGGTGGATGATTCTCGAAGTCGCTTTATTCGCTTCTCGTTGCTGATGGGTCCCGACTCGGTTCTGAAATATTCCCCCGAACCACGACCCGTGGAACCGGAGACGACAGAAACTGGTGAGACTGACGGTGCGGGCGGCCAGGAGAGCCCGCTTGCAGAGACGGAGGAGCAAAGTCATGATATCCTGAGCATGGAAGCACAAGGCATCATGGCGTACGACCGGACGGCGGACGGGGCTAGTCATGTAGGTTTGCTCGCAGAACCGGGATGGCTGGTGGAAAGCTAACTCAAGAATGAAATATAGACGATGTGGATGTTGCGACCGTTCTCTGAGCCCAGAGAAGTCACCATAGATCTCCCTCCTCTGCTGGTGGAATCTCTAGGCGTCGGAGCCGAGGTATTAGCGAGTTATTTGACGACCTTAGCAGAAGCGGCTGCGAACGAACCCGATCCCTCCAAGCATCCTGCCCCCAACCCGGTATTATGTCGAATCTGCGAGCGTCAAATCACACCTTGGTGGTTTGAGAAACATTCCGACCTTTGTCTACAGGAACACCGAGCCGAGATGGACGTTCAAATTGCCCAGGAAAACCTTAATGAGCACCGTCATGCGATTGTGAAGGTGCTGGACGCTCTTGAGGCTAGACAAGGCAGACCCTTAGTGTTGGGTGAATCTAATCCGCCTTTTCCCCAGCCGGAATACAAAGGACTGCCCATTGGACCGTCCCCGATTGCTTCAGCACCATCATCGGGGTCCGTTTCCAATTCAAGTTCCGCCCCTGCTACTCCGCCTAGATCCAGAGACCACTCGGTTTCGGGCATGGGTCACTCCCGTGGTCGATCGTTCGCTGTCCGGCGGCCGTTGTCGCGCGTCGTCGAACTGATTTTGGATCTCTGCGATACGGCTTTGGAGATCAACATGCCGGTACTCAAGGAGGCTCGCGTAGACAACAACGATGAATTCCGAACTTTATCCCCACAGTCAGAATCTCGGATTTCACAGGTTCTCCAGTGGCAGTCGCCCAGCACTAATACCCTGGAACAAGAGCAAGGCCTAGCTGCGTTGTGCACTGATACAGAGCAGGTAGCTAAAGCGAAAGTGGATGCGACTATTCGCTACCGCAGGATCGTTGAGTACGCTGAGCGAATTCGCATCGAATATACTGTGCTGGTGGAAGAATGCATTACCGCAGCCCTTAGTAAGGCTGAGCGTATCGCAGCCGGTCAACTCAGTGACTCCAGCTCTTCTGAGGATGAAAATGTGCCGGATATCCTTGATAGTAACATAGCTACTGGCCCCATCCCCAGCCCGGCCCAGTCTCGGGAGTCTATACCGTTACCCCGTCCAATGTCCGCCTTGACGATGTCCATGCGGAACTCTCCCGAACGGCACCAGTCTCCCCACTCCTCTGAGGGTAAAGTGTCATCGGTTGCTGTATCTACTGGGTCAAATAGTCCAATGGAATGTCCTACTCCTCGCTCGCACAAGAGCGTTGCCGGGGTGCTGGGCACGTCTCAACCGTCCCGACGCGCTCTTGCACCGGCAGATTTCGATGCTGGAGAGATGAGTGACAGTAGCGTTCTCTCATCTGCGTTTCCGGGTGCCATGCGAACGGATTCGCCGTGTTCCGATCGAAGCTTGGACAGAAAGCGTAGGAGTCTAGTGCTTCCTGGACTATCGAGCTCCCCTCGCCGGGGTCATTCACCTGCCAGAGTTTCTGGCCCTCATTCACCGTTGCGAATGCCGAAGCCTCGCCTTTCTAGCGGCGCCGAAAGCTTGCCGTCTCCCATAGTTTCCCCGTCGACGAACGCCAGTGAGCTAGCCCATCATCACTTCCGCCACCATCGTCGCCAATCTTCAGCAACCTCGTCCGATGCTCCACGGCCACCCGTCTCGCCGCACCTGGCATCGGCTAGCCAGCCGCAGCCGCGACCAGCGCCGGTGTCCATCAAAGATTTCGAGGTGATCAAGCCAATTAGCAAAGGTGCCTTCGGTAGTGTATATTTGTCGAAAAAGAAGACGACTGGGGAACATTTTGCGATTAAAGTTTTGAAGAAGGCGGATATGGTTGCCAAGAATCAGGTCACCAATGTCAAAGCAGAACGAGCTATTATGATGTGGCAGGGGGAAAGTGATTTCGTTGCCAAATTATACTGGACCTTTTCCAGCAAAGATTATCTCTATCTGGTAATGGAATATCTCAATGGGGGTGACTGTGCATCTCTTGTTAAGATCTTAGGTGAACTTCCTGAGGATTGGGCTAAAAAGTACGTTGCAGAAGTAGTCCTCGGGGTAGAACATCTCCATAGCAGAGGCATTGTCCATCGAGATTTGAAACCAGACAATCTATTGATTGATCAAACCGGTCACCTTAAGTTGACTGATTTTGGCTTGTCTCGGATGGGGCTCGTCGGGCGTCAGAAGCGGGTTTTGAAGAGTATGAACAATGAGCCAGCGCCCGATCTCCTCAAACAGGGACCTTTCCCTCGCGCTACATCCATCACATCCTCTCGGTCAGCCTCGTTTGATTTTCAAGGTAGCGGTTCGCCAGGATCCACGCCATTGATGACCCCTGATGTGGCTGGCAGCATGCCCCAACCGTCTTATTTCAACCTCAATCAGAGTGGAATTAGTCGACAGACGTCTCGTCGGGCATCGGGATATCGCAGCGATAGCGTAGGCAGCGAAGGTTTGAATTCAGTCTTCCGATCTCTATCCCTCCATGACCCCAGTGAAGTGCAGGGTTCATTGCCTGTTCCTGTGCCTGGTGCTAGCAACTTGACCGAGGATGGCCAAAGTGAAGCAGGAGGATCTCCCCATCTATATCCGCTTCAGCAAACGCCTAGTAACTCGGTCCCGTATGACACTGGTCCGCAGCAAGGTATGATGCCGCCATTGATGGCGCTCTTCGACCCCGAGGACCATAACCGTCGTTTTGTTGGCACTCCAGATTATCTGGCCCCCGAGACCATTAACGGCGCGGGCCAGGATGAGATGAGCGACTGGTGGTCCTTGGGTTGTATCATGTTTGAATTCCTCTTCGGCTACCCTCCTTTCAACGCAAATACCCCAGATGAAGTGTTCGACAATATCCTCCATCGGAGAATCAACTGGCCGGACCACGTGGAAGAGTTGACGAGCTCGGAGGCTATTGATCTGATGAATAAGCTTATGACTACCGATCCTGCTAAGCGGATTGGAGCTAACGTGGACGAAAAGTATCCGAATGGGGGAGCAGAGATCCGTAGCCATCCTTGGTTTTCGGACATCAATTTTGATACCCTACTGGATGACAAGGCGCAATTTGTCCCAAATCTTGAGAACCCGGAAGACACCGAGTACTTCGATTCCCGTGGAGCTACACTTCAAGCCTTCTCCGAGGAGCTGGAGGATGGTGACTCTCCTCGGCCTGTAACCACCGGACCATATCCAGATCGCCCGCACGATGCCCTTTTCAAGGTTCGCTCACAGGTCAATGCATCGAAGCGACCCTTGATGCCGCTGCATATCCCGCCTCATGTCCGCGAGTCACGTAGTAGAAGACTGAGTGAGCCTTCTTTGGAAGATGACTTTGGCAGCTTCTCTTTTAAGAATCTCCCGATGCTTGAGAAGGCAAACAAAGATCAGATACAGAAATTACGCCAATCGGCGATGCAAGCACAGCAGCGCCCGTTCGCGGCTTCGGGCGCCCAGCAACAGCCTCCAGGAAAGGACCAGGGGCAGAATCAGGCACAGACGCCGGCACCATCTTCGTCTGGTCCGTCCCTGGAAGGAAGTCCATTACCAATGTCGTTGCAGCGAACCATGTCACAAAGTAAAGGAAACAATCGACCCTCCTCCCCGTCAAGCCAAGCGAACTCCTCTCCCAGTCGACCGTCTCAGCCTTCGTCCCCTCTTCTGGTTCAATTCAGCACTGGTCATCACAACCATGAACGCAGAAAAACATCTGGTTCTTCGTCGACCAACTCGCACCACTCCAGTGCCTCTGGCCCACCTGCTAGCGCTGAGCAGGCTCGTATGGCAAGCCTAAAGATCAGCTCATCCGCTTCGTCGCCGGTGAAAACAAGCCGAGCCACCACAACTCATTCACCTGACAAGACACCATCAGGCCCTCCCCGTCACGGCAGTGCGCCCACGAGGGCTAGATCACAGACTATCGGGTCCCAGGATGGTGATTTGTCTTCCTCAGTAGCCAAGGAATTATATGTTGCTGGTCACTACAAGCGACGCAGCCAACGATTCAACGATATCTCACCTTCTTCGTCCGACAATGAAGACCCACGTACGAAGCAGTTGTTCAAAAACCAGCGACAACGCCAAAGTTCCAGGCGCCTTTCCCAGCTTAACTACCCCGAGGGCCCATTCTTTCGGCCGTTGGATGTACTGATCTGCGAGGATCATCCGGTCTCCAGGATGGTGATGGAACGCCTGTTTGAGAAGCTCCGTTGCCGTACGATCACCGCTGTGAATGGCGCAGAGGCTATGCGCTACGCTCTCAGCCAAGTGCAATTTGACATTATCATGACGGAGTTCAAACTGCCCCAGGTAAATGGAGCAGATGTCGCGCGTATGGTTCGGGAGACACGGAGTGCTAATCGACACACCCCAATTATTGCTGTAACGGGCTATTTGAAAGACTTCCCGGAGACTCACTACTTCGATGGGCTGATTGAGAAGCCCCCAACTCTGACCAAGCTTACCGAAGCATTGTGTAAGCACTGCCAGTGGAAACCTCCACCGAACGATTCTATTCCTTCTCAGCCTTTGGCTGTTCCGTCCGCAACACCACGCCAGATGCCAGTTCCTGCTGAGCACAGTCCAAGCTCAGTAACATCATCCAACTTTGTCCCGGTGCCTGCAAGCTCGTATCAAGGTTCTAGTCGTGCAGACTCCATCGGCAGTAGCTACTTTGGTGATATGGAGTCTGTCAAAGCTGAGGATGCCCCAATTGTCGGGGGTCGTAAGACTGATGAATGGTGTTCAAGTCAAGGTGGACTAGGTATATCAGGAGATACGGGTCCAAGTCAAGGGGAACCGACCCAAGGGACTCCTGAATCCAATAATAAATGCAACTCAGACCCTGCATCGCTACCGCATTTACTTCACGCTGTCTCCGCCCCGGCTTCTATGAATGCCTCTGGCACGCTGACCCCGCGGAAGCAGCGCTCTAGTGAAGCGATTCGCGCCAGGAGAGAATCTTTGGAAAGAAAACGCTATGAGGGCGCGGAGTCTGGTGATGATGAAGACGAAGAACTTGGACGTTCCAAGTCACGCACACAAAGCCCGAGAAATCGGTCAACCCGCCCCGGCTCTAAACTGGGCATAGAGATGATGAGGACCAACAGCAGAGGCAGCGTGGTCAGTGGCAGTGAGGAGTTACTCAAGAAGGAGAGAGAATCGCTCGAGAGGAGGAGGAGGAGTGGAGGCTCAGAGAGTATCAGCGAAGAGCGAGCGGAATCTCCTGGCATAGAGAATAGGTTCGAAGGGCTCCATTTCCCTGAAGACGCGATTGTGCTGTCGGAAGACAATTATAGCCCGAGGCAGTCTCCCACACTTTCCGCGTCAAATATGAGCCCCTGTTTCTCTACAATGCCTCGTCTAGGATCCTCGTTTGCTCATGACAATACCGAGACAGGCCTAGGTGTCAGCCCGGACGCGAGCACGGAAACTCTCAAAAAGGGCCATATAACTCCTCCCATCGTGTTCACGACGGAGGATGAGTCCGCATCGGTCGACCCAAACACACCTTACATTCAGATGTCCAGTGTCGAAGATGACACCGAAACAATCCCTGATTCTGAAGCCACTCCACGGCCGATACATACCCCTTCACTCGGCTTAGATTCAGAGATTACACCTCGTCAAGGAGGATGATAGAGCGTTTACGTTTACACTTCGGTTGAAAAGATAGACTGTTTGTCTTTGATTTAGAAATTGCCCAGGGCGCAGGTGTGTCGTTGCCTAGCCAGATATTCTGCTTGTCTCTTGTGTGGTTATGGCCCTATTTCCCTTCTCTGTATTTTTTCCCCCCCTCCCTTTCCTTACTAAGGAAACATGTCTGATATCGCAGTCTGCCGAAGTTACTCTCCAATCTGCTTGTTTTTCTTTTTCTAGTCGTTTCTCATTTCATTTCCCTTGCCGGGTTAAGCGGGTGTTCCGGAGTGATTGATATCATCTCAATCAGGTCATTTTGAGTTTCTTTCTTTTTCCACTTTCAATATCCTTGCTTCAATTGCAATTGCACCATCTCATTTCATACCATTTCCTATGTTCTACCAACTCATATCTTCAGTTCAAAACCAACCAAAAAAATCGTGTATGTACGAAATAAACAACCCGTCCGTCCAGGCAAAGCAAGAAAACGGGACAACCGAGATGGACTCTCAAACGGGCACAAAAAAGAAAAAAGAAAAGAAAAAAAAAAGAAACCCTTCTGCACGCATGAGAAGATCATTCTGTTCTTTCTTTTTATGGCTTCGGTAGTAAATATTTATGTGTATTTTATGATATGACACGTGAGACTTATATGATATGGTGCATGATTAGCATTAGCATTGTCACTGATTGACTGATTTGTATCCAATGTATTTGTAGTTGAAGTGCTTGAGGGTGTTGGGTGAGAACTGGTCCTTTTCCTTTTCCTTAAAGATTTAAATACAAAGAATGCTGTTTTATTTTTGATTTTTCTCCTCTACTGGAGATGGATAGTCTCCTTGCTTCCAGATATCGAGGATGCTGAATTCAATTCCATGCAGTTTGTAAGTACACAGTTTCCTATTTCCTCGTTGAAACATCTCCAGGTGCGGGCGCAGGAAAGTCTACAGCATAATAGAACGAAATGATGTCCCAGAAAGTAAAATCATTCTTCCAAAAGCCGCCTACTTCCTTTCCAAGTTCTCACCGATCTCCATCTTGAGATCAACCAGCAATATTCATCTTTTGAAATCCCCGTCTGCGCAAAATATCTCATTCTCGTGGGTGATATTGGGCGCTTAGTTAGATTACGACAACTATCGCGATTTCATACAAAAACAAACCCACCGCTTCGAGCTGGTATTCCTCACTCTCGGAAACCATGAATTTTACAACGGGACCTTCGCAGAAGGACTGCGAAAAGGCCAAACAACTCGAACGAGAACCTTCATTAAAAGGACGCCTAGTCACTACTTCATCAGAGACGATACACCATCCCCGGGTCCCGTATTACTATTCTGGGCTGCACACTTTGGTCTCACGTCTCGCCCGACTCGCAAGTCATCGTGCAGTCGAAGACTAAAGATTTCCAGAAAGTCAACGACTGGACGATCGATGACCACAATGCACACGTCATGAGTCAGATCTGGCCTGGTTGCTGAACGAGATCCGGACAGCCGATGCACCGGAAACACCGACCCAGAAGCAGCAGCAGCCTGGACTAGTCGTCGTGACGCATCATGCACCTTCTCGACGGAAGACGTCGAGTCCGCAGCATGCGCAGAACGCCTGGAGCTCGGCGTTTGGAACGGATATTCTATCGAATGGGTTGTTGGATAGGGTCCGAACATGGGTCTTCGGGGATACGCACTATACGACTGATTTCAGGGAAGGGGGTGTAAGGGTTGTGAGTAATCAACGGGGGTATGTGCTTCCTTGGAGTAAGATGGATGGAAAGGATGGGTTTGATGTTGGGAAGGTTATACGTGTGTAGAGAGGACAATTCAGAACGGAATTACATCCCAATACTAAATCTCTCTCTCTCTCTCTCTCTCTCTCCCCTACTACTCCAGTCGATAGCTCTCTCATTCTATGATATTTTGACCCATGCGTAAATGCACCGAGGAGCAATGCCAACGGTCGGATCTCTATCTGTAGAATAATCTAGTCTATATACTCATATCTCTGTTAAAGGCCGAGGCTATTGGCCAATGTGTCACCCCTTACTTTCTTAATGCTGTAACCAAGTCTCTTACTGCTCACACGCGCGATTTCTGCCAAATATTGTATTCCTTTGTTGCTATATTAAGCAGACGACGTATGTTACAGGGCCAAGATGCAGTTCCATAGGTGTATTTAAAGCGGAGTTGACCTGGGGATAGTCACCTGGTAATTTTTGTGTTTCTATAATTCAATGGCTGTTATTGAGTATACAGGTTGTACTCAGGCTTCACTGCTTAGAGATAGTAATTATCAATCTTGTAAAGTCTAATAATTAAATGACAATGAATGATAAGGACGCTCATAGCGAACAGATGTATGAACCGCCGGCCTCGAATGTGTATGCTCATATGAACATGTGACAAAACTCAATCCTGTCCGTTTCCATATTGCAACTTAAAAAAAAAAAAAAGGAACGATGCCGCCCTCAATGTAAACCATAAAATAACGTGGATCATATGCACGTAGGTATCAGATAGATGGCAGTATGTATGATCAAATATATTTTCACAGATAAAGAAATGAGCGTTTGGGGATTATCGTGCACCTGGCGAAACGGAGCGGATATCGCCCGCGTCGAATCGACCTTGCTCGGCCAGATCGTCACGCTCGCGGCTGACGCTTGACCGGTGGCGGAAGAACCGGTTGCGACTGATGGAGGACAGGCTGTGGGTGCCTTGGGACTCCGTCGACCGACGGCCTTCACCCGATTGGGTCGGGACGCTGAGGTTGGACGGGCGACGTGCCCGAGAGGACGATGAGCGGCTCTGGCGTTCGGCCTCTTCTTCCTCTTCCTCTTCCAGGATGCGGCGCTGGGCGGCGTCGCGGTTGGAAGAGCGGACAACGTCATCGACACGAGGGGAGTTGGTTTCAAACACATCGCCCATCACATCGCCGGAGGAGAGATCGCGCATACCCAACGAGAAGTCGACATGTTTGTGTGACTGCATCGACTCGCCGCGGGCACGGGCGGCAGCGGTGTTCATGCCTTTGCGCAGGATCGACGGGTGGCGGGTTGCGCTGGAGCTGCTGTGTCCGGTATTCTCGGGCATGTCGTAGATGGGGGTGGGAGGCGGACGACTGTCGTGGTCGGCCGATGACATCTGAGATGGGAAACCCGTGACGTGGAAGGGGATATCCACACGGGCACCCTGGAGGTTCATGCGTGGGCCCTCGATGCCAATCTCTTGCAGGGCAACCATGAGCATACAGATGAACTTGTTACGACGTTGGAGACGCAATCCTTCGTTCTGCCAGTTGGACTTGTAGAAGAAGACGACGTTGAGAGTCACAGAGAAGTTTTCCGTCACGGCTCGCATCTCAGTCAAGATATTAGTCTGGAACTCGCGCTTTTCGCTGCGGACGAATTCCAACAGGCGCTGACGGAGAGCATCAATCTGTTCGAGTGTTGTGCCGTACTTGATCACAATGGGGATTGCTTCCGCGAGAGCACCAGATCTGCGTTGGTTGAGGATAAAGAGCCCGTTTAGATAGCTGTTTGGTGCCTGGACGATGTGACCCTGCATCTTCTTGAACTCCGTGTAGAGCAAGGAGATCTGTTTTACAAAGTAGTCATCACCCAAACCAGCATCACCTGCGTTACCGTAGATCGTCACACGGTCACCCACGTCGAAGGGATGCTTCACAAAGACGAAGATAATCGACTGCAAAAATTCCTGGGCGGTGGCAGAGAAAAGCCAGGACAAGGCAAGAATACTGGAGCCCGCGGAGGTGAGCACACCAGAGGCCGAAGTTGAGATCAATGACACGAAGACGATCAAGCTGATGACAACGACGAAGAATTCCAAAACATTGTCGAGTCGTGAGACGACCGAATCCAGATCCTTGAGAGATGCAGTGATAGCCTTGCGTTCCCGTCCGATCTCCACACAAACCGCCTCCAGTTCGTCCATAGAGATGTCGCCATTCATATCCTTGTCGAACATGATAAATGCAGCCTCGGCCTCCTCGCTATTATCGAACGCTTCTTTGAGATCACCAGCAAAGACAGTGTCGAATCCGTCACGCACGAAAGTCCGGTAGAGACGTCGGGCTAGAACCTGGCAGCCCGAGGTGGTTCGCAACAAGGTCAAAATGACTTGATAGGGATGAGTACTGTTAGTCGCCTTCCGGCCCGTAAAGTCCGCGGCAACAGCTCCGGCCATATCTCCAACCTTGTTCAATGCACCTTTGGCTACACGTTGCGCCTTGCCAGCGTACTGCATCGGATAGCGCAATGGGGTTTTGGTGCCGCTGCCACCGGTATCATTCTTTTCTTCAAACTCATCGTCTTTCACCGAGATCTTGTTGCGAGAGAAGTCGTACAGCTTGGTCAAACTGCCGATCTGGAATTTATTGATCTCAATTCGATCGGCATAAGTACGCGTATGGAAACTAATGGCGATAAGTTGAATAATGATTTTTTCGATATAGTTCAGGATTGTCCAGACGAAGATGGAGATGATAATCTTGTTGACCGTATTCTCCCACGAACGCGTAGCTGAGTTGCCGTCCACATGATGGTTCTTCATTGTGGGAAGAAAAGAGATCTCGATACCTAGCCACCAAAAGAAAAAAGTCGCGTGCAGCTCCAATTGTTTGGCCATGTCGCGCCACTTTTTGGCGTTGTTGGTAAAAATACTGGCCAACAACCCTACAGCGACAGGAATACATTTGGCCACAATCTAACGCATTGAACCGTCAGGTACACCGCAGGAGCAACCGGAAAGGGAAAAGGATACATACTCTACCAGCCCACAACGTCAACCAGACAATTTCCAACCAAACAGAGAACCAGAGCAGTTCGACACCCCCCACGTTCGCATCCGGGTAAGCCAGTGCGCCGACCAGCAGCGGGATCAACAATATAACAACGAGGGGTACAATGTAGGTTAAATAGCGAACGATGAAGCTGGACTCGTGGATCTTTTTGACAAATCGGGCGATGTTCGTGTTGGGAGACTCCGGTGGATTGTAGACAGCAGCCTTCTCGTGCAAGGGATTGGTGGCCTCATCAAACTCGTCCACGTTTTGAGAGCGATGCGAGCGAGACCGCGATATCGAGTTGCGCTCACCTTTGCTCTCCGTGTCCTCATGGGTGGAACGTGACGCCACCTTCTCCGCTTCAAGGAGAGCTAAGTCATCTTCGAGGCGTTTGGAGTGTTCCCTTTGAGCCGAAGGCGAGCGTAAAGCTGTCCGGTCCAAATCGTCGGCAGACGAGGTGTCAACGGTGAGGTGATTGTTTCCGTGAGTGTCCTGCGAGCCCTCGTTGATATAGGTGCCTTCGTCCGAGGTTGGGGAATGATCGTCGGTCCGGCTCTTCTTCTCCGAATATTTGGGAGCAGGAAGCTCCTCAACAGGGGTCGACATGCTGGCACCAGGCCAGGAGTCTTAGTAAATATTAAGTGTAGTTGGTATCGATTGATTGCAGTTGGACTGGAAGCGCGTCAGAAACTACCAACGCACTATAGCTTGATATAAAAAAGAATGACTAAATGGGGCAAAAGAATGAATGAATGAATGAATGAATGAGACCCCGGTATATGGCAACCCAAAGGAGTCTAGAAGGGTTGGAACAGTTTTGGCAGAGGGGAGTAGTAGCATATAAATATGCGATGGGTCCAACAATACGAGACGGAGACGCACCTTCACCAACGATAGTGGGGACTCCGATGTCAGACTAACAAGCAGACGGGACTTAAGGTGGGCATCGGATACCGGGCCCGTCGTGGTCTAGTCAATAGAAAGGAAAAAAGAGTTTAATAGTGTCGTAAGAAAAAAATAATTACAAGATGGAGAACTATAGAGACAGTAGAAGGTAAAGAAAGATAGATGGATGGATGGATGGCGATAGACGAGGAGGAGGAGGAAGAGGGAGGGAAAAGGAAACCAAAGAGGAGAGAACCAAGAAAGTATTAAACCGGAAGGTCGTTACTTTATCCCTAGTAGGTTGTTAAAGAAAAAAGAAAAAGGGAAAAAAAAAAATAAAAGAAAAGTTGAGCACGGAAGCACTGACAAGCACAGAAATTATGCAGCCGAGTTTCAATGGAGGAGCAGTTAATTTGTGCCGATCGCACGGGAGAAAAATAGGACGGTGGAGACCTTTCACCATGCGAAGAATTTCTCAGTTCCAGACCGTTTTGTCATTTGATGTCAGTGTTTTGGATCCTCGCTGAATTGACTTCATTAGGGTTGCGTCTTGGTCGAGATAATAAACATCGGGCTCTCGTACCCCAAATCAACCAGGAGTCTTATTTCCCTATCACCATTTTCAAGATATCAAAATATCCTTATCTATCAAACCTAAATTGTATTTTTATCCTTTTTTGCTATTCCACAAACCAGGGACGGGGCGATGTGGCTTTTTTTCTCATGTTAAAGCAGATCTCGAGATTAACTAAGGGGAGCCACCCGTTCACCATCGGCTTGGATCAGTGGTTCTGGCCAGTGGCCACTGCCCCTCCTCAGTGGCCCCGTTGGGTCCTTAGCTTTCCCACTAGCAGTGAACGACCCAACAGCTCTGACCAATGATGACCCTATCGCAGGCTTCTGGCTAGACTCGAGAACGTGTGCTCCGAGTAAGGTAGGGGAGTCGGGAGTCGGGAGTTGGGAGTTGGGACCCCTACCGCGCACGTCGGTCTAGATGTAAGTTTCAGTTCAAACGGGCGCGAAAGTAAGATTCCTTACATAGCTGCAAAAAAGACCGAATCTTCCTCTCATCCCCCAGACACTTATTATGCAAGTATCTTAAGCAGGTGGGTTCAGGTTCTCGGG